CATATCAAGACTCATCCATATCCCCAAGAACTATGGAGTCTACTCACACATGGAGACAACAAACATCATGTCAAGGGTGATGGAAAACATGGATGGGTGACACAAATAACACACAAGATGATCCACTAGGGTTCCCGATGTTACAGTGATAAGGATGTGGATGATGATGACAGTGGTGGTGGTGATGATGATGATAGTGGTGATGATGTTGTAGCCCCCTTGTGCATGATGAGAAAGATGACCGTCTTCTCCTTGTCAATCCTTCCTTCGGATGATCTCCGAAGGTTAGGGTTCTCTCTTCTGGACGAGTTTCTGGTCTCTCTGAACATCTGATCCCCGATCCAATTTCACGGGGTGGGAGTAGTCGATCAGGCGGTGGTGTTGACACTTCATATGACCAACCATGCGAGCGGGCGCGATCACATGGAATGCCATCTTTTGCTCTGGAAGCATGGCGATGACTCTTTCTTTGCCCTCCTTGCTTGATTCTTTTTAAGCCAGGTGATTATCACTTTAAGTACATGATTCCACTACCCTTTATGGAGATTTCCTCCTTATTATGCTAAGTGGCCCAAAAAGCGTTACCTGAGAGATTATCAACAAAAAGAGGTGCGTGAACGCGGTAAAATTCCACAAAGCCTACCATGTAGGCACGAAATACCTAGTAAAATTATCACATATATTGGACTCATCGGGGCTCGGCTGGTGCAACCCTGAGGTGATACATGGAATTTCATTGTCGTGGAAAATTGGAGAATTGATTATTGTGTTGATGGCCTATATAACGGCTAAAATTTTGGCACTGAGATTCGGGCTATCCTTTGCGCAAAAGGCATATTGCAACCTCCTTTTTTTTATTAACTCCGATTTGGAGAATATTGATACCATAAAAAATGGAGGGCATTCCCCGGAGGTGGCGGCGGCAATGTTTTACGGATGTTATTATATTTCTTGTGATTTTCTTCTTACTAGTCCTGAACATTGTACACGGAATGGGTTGAGGAGCCTTCGAGTGAAATTGTACCTCTCCTTATAGATAATGTAATGGTTATTTCAAATTAGTAAAGCTTTAATTTTTAAAAATATATTAGATTTAACGATGAAGACATGTGAGACGATCTAACAACCATGATTTGTTTAGATACAATTATGAACATATAACTGCAATAAAAATGACTGCAATCCATTAGTTATAAAAGAGTCTGCTAAATAAATGGTTAAATGTTTTTGTTGTGATAATTTCTAGTGATCTCTATTTTTTTTCTTCTGTTTTGTGCTAACTAGTTTTCCTAGTTGCAGTCAGGTACGATTAAATAATAATATAAAAAATATATTTTTTTAAATAATTAATCAAAAGGTTAAACATAAAGTAAAAAAATTAGAGTGCTTCTTATGTGTGAAACTGAACGGGCCATATATTAGCGTTTCTTATAAACCTAAGTGGCACATAAATAGAAGCATATGCATTATAATTAATAATTCATTCACCCAGATGGTCATAACAATTATTGTATATAGGCAATATATTGTAGGTTATCTTATGCTTCTTAATTATGACACAAACGGCTCCATTCATCGGGCGGTACATGGGGCAAGTGTGATTCTACGAGTAGGTATTTTCATAATATAGTTGCAGTGTCGCAATTGTATTGATGTATGTGCATTGCTCCGCAGCCCCAACGCTTCGGAGGATATCATGGCACCTTCAATGGTTGTAAGATAGTTGTTGGTGGACTTTGTCACATAGAATTTTTGATGATATGTCATACAATAAATAAGAAAAGAGAGGAAGGTTGTATGTATATGAACCAACACCCCTTACACAAGCTTCAGTGTAGAATGAGAGAGTACCTTATTTATTATCTCACATCCTATTAGGCAAACTAGATACAACCCATTGAATGTGTTGTATGTTAAGGTGTTGATTGATGACATGACATATTTTACCAACAAGCTAACATACAAATTGTTGGAGATGTCCTCGTGCGAGCCCTCGACCCCTGGTGGTGTGGTGGTGTCTACAAGGATAGTGGGTGGCGTTGGTGTTGTTGGTGCAATGCATGGTGGCCATGTCATAGGGTGACTTCTCTATGGTGCCAACGTGAGGGTGGACACCATGTGTCGGTCGACGCTTTATGACTTGTGTATCCATGCATTGGGCACCGTGTTATTGAGTAGGCGTCATCGACGGTGCATAGTGGTTGGTGGTGCCACTCCATACTAATTATACTGGTATGGAGGTGCTGTTGTTCATTCACACATTGCTCCATCCCACGTATCCCTACCGTCTCTCCGTTTGACGATGCCACAAACCACCTCGTCGCCCTGTATGTTTTTTGTCGTCGCTGGTCGCATGGCCGGATGGTTGTCCCTCCTTTCCCGCCGCCTTGCTGTCAACTCCTCTGAATCTCTGATGATGTTGGTCGTCCCGTCATCGCCTCCTCTGACGTTGCTGCCGCCGATGTCGACATCTTTGATGCTACTTCCCATTTCCAATTTTTCCCTTTCCTTTGTTTGCCGCCTCTTTTGGCCATGGGTGACGCGGCCACCGACTCGAAGCCTCTGCGACTAGACATGGGCACATAGCTTCCTCCCTTCCTCCCTTTGACACCAATCATCACATCGACAAAAAAAGAAGCAATCCCCACCTTCATGCCATTATAAGAATCATGGTGTCGAACATTGCATCGTAGAGTAAATTGTGTTACCAGCCGTTGTGCCCAACACTGAATAGATCCTTAAAGAATGCAAATAGACTGGGGTGACTTCTTTTGCACCATTTGAAAATGCATAAATAAATCCCAAATTATTTCCCCCCACTTTCCATTCTTCATTCTTCGTTCCACAACAAGCAACGCCATTAGCCCATCACACACACTACTAGGTACTCGCTCCCCCATCTACTAACTCCAACCAAACCTTAGCCCCTAATCCCGTCACTCTTCACCCGGGCGGATTAACGGCCGATTGGCCGCACGCCATGACCTCGGCGTGGCCGCCAATCGCGAACATCAGATTCAGTCTTTACCCCAAAACTTCGGCGACAAACTTCTGGAGGAGATCTTTCTCCACCCGCCCACCCCTGCCGCGCTTGCCCGCGCCTCCACCGCTTGCCCCCGTTTCCGCGGCATCATCACCGAGCGCTCCTTTCTCCACTGCTTCAGCAAATGCCATCCACCCCCGCTCCTCGGACTCATCGACGACAAAGGTGGCTTCCAACCCGCACATGCGCCCCCTCCTTCGCCCCGCTCGCCCGTGCCCTCGCCGATGCCGCGGATTTCACATACTCCTTCATCCCCAAGCCCAGTGATGAAAGCTCCTGTTGTCCCCGCAGCGGCCGCGTCTGTTGACACCAAATTTTGGCACGGTCAATAACTTATTTAAGATGGCCTCAAATGGAGAAGTGATCTTCATGAAAGAGTTCTGTATTATCGATATGAACATCTTTGAAGTTTGGGTCATCGCAGTCCGATTTCATCTCGAAGGCCGAAACTATGCTCAAAGTACTAAGATCTTATATTCATAGTACAGTTTGGCTGATTAAGCCCCCAAGACGACCTCAAATGGAAACATTATCTACACGGATTGTCTTCGTCTCGTCGAAACGATCGATTTTGATATAAAAATTGTTCCAATCCAAGTTCGTATGCAAAAGTTAGAGCCATCGGAATACAGCCCTGTCAGGAGGCAAAAACTGGCGCGCCCCACCAGACACCCTGTCTGATGGGTAGCGCGAGGGATAGCCTGTTTTGCGCGACCAATTTGACCCTCAAGATGACCTCTGATCAAAAAACGTTCAACATAAAAGTTGTTCGTCTCGTCGAAACGGTCAAGATTGCTTTTGGGATCATTTCCATCCGAGATCGTTTACCACCACAAAAAAGACCCGCAAGGTGCAGCCAGTTTAAACCGAACAGTTTTGGAAAGTTCGGACAAAACCAATCCGAATTTGACTAGGGTTTTGGACGTGAATCCAAGGTTTTTCCTTGCACGGGAAGTCCAGCCGCCTCTTATATACCTAAGGGGTGACGGCCGATTGAACAACACACAATCGATCAATCAATCTACCACTTTTTATCTTTTATCTTTTCTCCTTAACCCTAGTTCTTCTTCTTCCTTGTTCTTCGTTCGTTCTTCTTCATTGCAGGGCGGCGAACCTCGAGGCCCTAGGGGCGGTCAGGCCGACCTAGGGCAGCCCATAGCCGCTGCGCGCCCTGACGGGGTTCCTCCCGGGCGTGTGGGGTTTCGGGTCTTCAAAAGCACCCGCCGGATTGCTTGCGTACCGCGCATCCGGACGGGTCTCCTTCGACGTAAGTTGCGGTGTATCACCCTCGGCGTTGGAGGTACACGGTGACGTGTTCGTGTGCGAACAGCGTCCTCCTCGAGGGCAGCGCATCTGGGGAAATCATCACAAACCTCGTGGTGTGTGATCCATTGTAACGACGCTACGTGCTACTTTCACCCATACCTATGGACCTAGCACTGGCGGTCGAGGAGAAATCACGAGGATTCAAGCCCTTACTCGCACCCATTGGCAAGGACGAGGGTGTGATGACCTTCAAGGTGATATGGGTGAACTCCGGGCGGAAGGAAGCGGAGAAGATCGCCGAGAGGCCGTTCGATAGAACGAAAAAGACAGCACGCACTGGATTTTTCCTCTCCTCACATGGTAATTTTCCTTCGGCCTTATTTTTGGGAATAAGATACTCCTTTTTTTAGGGGAAAAAATACTCCTAAAATGTTGAACCAAAAAACCTCAAAAAAAAAAAAGTTGAACCAAACGAGGCACACGCCCTCCCGCCCGGAACCCTAGGAAATTCGTTTGGTTCTTTTTTTCCCTCGATCCGCCGTTCCATTCCCCACTCACCTCGTTCCAGGCTTCCAGCACACTCCCTAAAAAACTGCGGCGGCCCTGCTATCTCCGACGAAAACCCTAACCACGCTCGCAGCGCACCGCCCACTACTCCGTCCCCTGAGCGGCGGCCGATTGGCTGCTTTCCATGGCCTCGACGGCGGCGCCGGTCGCCGAACACCGGACTCAGTTGTTGCTCACAGACCTCGGCGACGAGCTCCTGGAGGAGGTTTTCCTCCGCCTGCCCACCCCGGCGGAGCTCGCGCGCGCCTGCACCGCCCGCGCCTCCTTCCGCCGCATCATCACCGAGCGCTCCTTCCTTCGCAGCTACCGCAAACGCCACCCGCCGCCGCTCCTGGGGTTCGTGGGTGAGGAAGGCGGCTTCCACCCCGCCCAGGCGCCCCACCCCTCCGCCCCGCTCGCCCGTGCCCTCGCCGACGCTGCCGATTTCACCTACTCCTTCGTCCCCCAACACGACGAGGGGCACGTGTGGGTCCCGTGCGATGCCCGGGATGGCCGTGTCCTTCTCGAAGACGGACAAATTTGGGAGGCCTTCAGACACCTTGCCGTCTGCGATCCATTGTTTCGTGGCTACGCGCTGCTTCCACCCGTTCCCGGGAACCTGGCACTCCAGGAGAAAGGCCGCCCTGTAACCAATTCACTCATGCCCATTGCCGAGGATGAGGATGAGACATTGTTCAAGGTGATATGCTTGGCTAACTACGAAACCAAGCTGGTTGCATTTCTATTCTCTTCCGTCACAGGAGAATGGTGCATAGCCGCAACTGTCAGCTGGAGCTCTTTGGGCAGCCAGCCACAGATATGGCGAAACTTCAGAGGTTGCGATTACCGTGGCGTGTCCTGTTTTGACTGTGCGCGCGGCTCCTACTACTCAACATCGACTTTTAACGACAAGCTGCTTGTGTTGGACACAAGGAAAATGGAGTTTTGCACTGTCGATGATCGTACTGGCTACCATATGAACCTCAGATGTCTGCCTGGCCAGCACGAGGACGTTGTCGACATCTATGTGCCATCCCGATTCCGGCCTGGCCAGAGTAGAAGTCTGCCTCGCATTGTTGTGGGTAGAGAAGGAGCCCTTGAGATGTTTTCTCTCGTTGGTGATCACACTCCAAATGGCTCTTTTGATCTCTATCATACCACTCAGCAAAATAATGGCCAGTCTTCCAAGGAATGGCAGCTGGAGAATATTATACCGTTGCCCGGCAAGTATGACTATTTCACTGTGGGTGCAGCTGAGGGATTCTTATTCCTTGGAGCCACTACAGAAGATCAGCTGGACTTTGTTGAAAGCGTCCCTATGAGCTTGTTGACGACTGAGTGGAATGTAGATTATTTTGCATTGGATGTCAAGACTTCTGAACTTACTAAGGTTTGTAGGAGCAGGAGGCAATTCTTCCATAATGAAGATGTTCACTGCTACTTTGGCTTCCCCCTGTCGTTGTCAAAACCGAGTATATGATGAAGTGGTAAGTTTATTTTGTTTATATTTGGCGTGCTTTGGGAACCGTGTGTTGGCCAGTTGGCCAGTGGCGCGCGTCCTTCTGCGTGCCCAGCCCGCCACCCGCGTTCGAGCCTAGGCTCCGCATGGTGTGAATGGGTTGTTTCTTCTTAATTAATTTGCCACAGGGGGTAATCCCTATTGGTCTAGTTTTAAGAACAGAGCAGTGGCCAAATTGGTTAGAGCATATGCCAATGAGAGCTCACGCATCCGTGCTCGAGTCGTGGCCTCCGCAGGATGCCTCACTTCTACCTAAACAGCATACAGATTTTGTTTTTTGTTTTTGTTTTGAAACGACGAGCTCCCTCGTCGATCTCTATTAGAGAAAAACAACATGTAGTTAAGGGAGGGAACTTCCCCCGTTAACCATGTTTTTTAATTTTTGGCGTGCTTCACTGTCCTAATTATGCATGCTGAGAGTTATTGTTTCATGCTATTTTGAGAACCTATCTAGCCATGAAAGGTGGTCATGATTTATTTTTGTCATGTTCGATAGTTGTCATGCAACCTGCCAGTTAAAGAAAACAAATTCATTTCATAGGAGGAAAGGCATCTCTATCGCACCAAATTTGCGTATTATGCTCATCAGTTAATGTTTGAGGGCCATTCACATTTTTGGAAAGGCTTTAATTTACCATTCACATCTTATGTTCCTGCTACTATTGTTGTATACTGCTTCCTAACTGAAATAAGAATATATGATGGCTATGGAACATTTGAAAGCATGAACCAGCAGCTTATGCATTTAGTTTTAAACTGTACTGTTTTTTCAATATTTTTTTTGGAAATTACTATTTTTTCAATTTCACTTGAAAGGCATTACTGTGAAACTATGGAAGCATATTTCTGTTGCATTTGGGTGACTTGCCTATTATGAGTTTTAACTTTTAACTGAATATATCTGCAGGGATCAACTCACTTTGTTTCAGGGGTTCTTGTACTTGGGCCATGTATCTGATGCCTTTGATGAAATGGAGGATGGACATGATGGTGCTGAGAAATATGCTCACTAGATATAGCACTCAAGCCTTGGTATTATTCATTAAGAATTAGCCATCATGTACTTTATATGGTTGTATTAGGCTTTTTTAAGCAAAGACATGTTGTAAACAAGCTGAATTTGTTGAACTCTATCTCCAATGAGAGTTGTACTGTACTTTTGTGTTGGAAGCATGACATTGTCTGTTTATCCTTGTTCAGTCATTAACCTGGTCATGTTTGCAGCCACATCATGCTCTGCTCAGCATGCTCATGCATCATCTTGCTTTTAAGATCTGATGATTAGTTACAGGTTATTGTTGCCCATGCTGTTTTCAGTGTCCGAGTGTTTTGTTTGGTGCCTTTTCAGAGTCAGGAAAGCAACAGTGATCATGTTCAAGTCGCATTTTGATTTTTGAGGCTTCTGCAAAAAAGAAAAACATGCTTCTTCCTTCATCCTATAACATTCAGATATCCTCATCTTGTAAGCGAGACACCTTACATTTCCTGGTTGATCCCACACATATGCCCATCGTTGTAGTGTTTATGCAGGACATGCTTTTTAATGGTTGCTGTCATGTTTATTGACTGCAAATACTCCACCTCTTATCCAGTTGGGCATGTCTTTGATTGAGAACACTTTTCTATAAGGCTGGGCAGCACTAGAACTTCTCCCCAATCATGCTTGTCTGATTTCGTTTGCAAGGGATAACTTGCAGAGCATGTCACAAGAAACGCACGAAAAGGAGTGACCCATTGGCACAAGTTGCCAACCACCGAGTGAGTCAACAGGTAGGTGACCAGAAACTCATCATATAATACTATACTGCATGCTGGTGCTTAAGAAAATCCATCACACAGCCACTCTTCTATGTATATATGCTTGCCTGGCTCTGGCTGCTAATTATCATCTTCTTGCTTGTCGTTGCCGCCAGTGTTGCACCTTGAATCAAGATCCATCCATGGAGCCAATGCAAGGAAGAGTGCAGATGTGGATGCTCCTGTGGCTCGCCTTCTGCTTGCTCGAGCATTCGCATTCGCTGGTGTTCCCGTTCCCCATGCCGTTCTTCGCCCCTTCCTACACCAACCAGCAAGACGGTGAGAAGAATCTGCAAAACTTTTCTGAGTCTTGCAGTGCAATGCATGTATGCTAAGTCATTTTTTCCTCTTATTTTGCTGGTGCAGTTGATGCTGTGAACGAGCTGTACGCGTCACTGGGCTCGCCGGACCTCCGTGGCTGGGCTGCCTCGGGAGGAGACCCTTGCGAGGAGGCATGGCAAGGGGTGCAGTGCCTCGGCCCCAACATAACCGAAATGTTAGCTGTTCTTTTAGAATCTCTTGTACCATGCCGAGCTTCATGCACTAGCCAATCACAGAAAAGCTTTTTGTTGAAACTGACAGAGTACTCAAAGGCGCGGGTCTAGAAGGGAAGCTGAGCGAGGCACTCGGAAAGCTCACTGCTATTACAAGATTGTTTGTGAATTTACATCATATTTCAGTTCTACTTTCTGTCCACTACCACTTCAGTTTATTTATTGACATTGTTTTTGGATTGTGTTCATGCAGGGACCTGTCATCAAACAACCTCGGCGGTGAGCTGCCGGAGTCAATGGCAATGCTCAAATCCCTTTCAGCACTGTGGGTAGCTGAGTATTATGCTTCCTAATTAGTACTCCCTCCGTTCGGAATTACTTGTCGTGGAAATGGATGTATCTAGACGTATTTTAGTTCTAGATACATTCATTTCCGAGACAAGTAATTCCGAACGGAGGGAGTACTATGCAGTGATACTCTTTTCCTGGTAGTTTGTGGTTAAATGCATTGTTTTTCTGAATTTGCAATGTGCTGCAGGCATGTGCAGAACAACAGGCTAACCGGGACACTCGATGTGCTGCGTGATCTTCCCCTGAAAGACCTGTAATTGCTTTACCTATTTACACAGATACCTCCTTAGCTCATACTGTGAAATATGATGATCACTCTACTCCTTGACGAGATAACGTGCAAAATCCTGCATGTTGTTGAGAGGGAAAAAACATTTCCATGAAACAAAGGTCTGACTGCATTTCCCGCATGCCCATTCCTGAATCTTGATTATGTGACCGTTTACAGGAATGTGGAGAACAATCAGTTCGCAGGATCAATCCCAGAGAAGATGCTGAACATCCCAAAATTTCTGTAAGAACTCCATCCTCTCTTATCGAGATTCAAGAACCAAAAGAGCTTGGCTAACTGCTGCCTGCCTAACAAATCAATAATCTTGCCTGAATTTTCTGCAGAAGAAATGGCAACCATTTCACCATTCCGATCCCTGGTTCCTCTCCGACTCCGGCGACGTCGTCTCCTTCTCCAGCTGCACATCCTCACATTACTGTAATTCCAGCAGTTACCCCACAGGACACTACACACGGTGGTGCTCCTCGGAGGCACGCCAACAAGGTGTTTCCGGCAAAGGCTGCCGGATTCAGCATTCTCGCTGCCAGTTTATTGACCATTGCTGTCGTTGTAATCGTGTTCGCAACCTTGAGAAGGCGGCAGGAGATGTCCACTCGGGAAGGGCACCTGAGCGCAATTGTGAGGAGCGTGGCAATCTGGACAAGGAAGCCTCCTAAGCTAGGTGCAACTGCCAACCCTGACAAACAACACAGTACAGGTACATGAAAAACAATGCTGAAATTTTATCCTGAAAATTAAGAACCTACATATTCTGATATCAATGTCCATTGTTGTTTTGATCATTGAAGTCGCTGCAAATGACATTGTGGGGAGCACTCTGAGAGATTGCACAAAGGTGTCGGGTTTATCGGCACATACACCTCTCAAGAACTACAGCATGCCAAGCATTGTTTCAGATAAGAATGTTCAGCGGGGGTCAGAAGAAGGCAAACCCTCGACGGTTTCCTTCAAGTTCTTCACTGTTGCATATCTGCAACAGTGCACCAACAGCTTCAGCGCTGAGAATTTTCTGCGAGAAACTCGGTTCGGCAATATCTATCTTGCAGAGCGCCCAGAATGCAAGGTAAATTGAACTGTATGTAGAACTTTCATTCCTAATTGTATCATATTCAGTTTCTTTATAGTAGCAGAGTACCATCTCTTTTTCCTGTTGGAAACTTTGTGGTGTTATTGACATCATCTTCCCATGATCACATTTCTTCTAGTTTGCGGTGCTGAAGCTTCGCGACACGGCTACGAAAATGGCGGCTGACGTGTTTCTGGAGAATGTTCGGACCATCGCCGACCTTCGACACCCCAACATAGAAGAGCTTGTGGGTTGCTGCGTGGAGCACGGACAGAGGCTGCTCGTGTACAAATATTTCAGCGAACACACATTGGACGACATGATCCACCGCGGCAGCAGCGACACTGCCGATCCCGGCAACAAGTTCCTGTGGGAAGCTCGGATCGCCGTGGCCCTCGAGGCCGCCAAGGCTCTCGAATACCTCCATGACGGTGGCGGCGGCCAGGAGGGACATGTCGCCGTTGTCCACGGACATTTCAGGCCGGAGCATGTCCTTGTCGACGGCGAGGCGCGGGTGCGCGTGTCCGGGTGCGGCCTCGCCCCGTTCGCGCCACCGTCAGCGTCAGGAACTACTACGGACTGGCAAGACGACGCACTGAGCTACGTCGGCCCGCCGGAAGAAGCCGCAACGACGGAGGCGGCCACAGGCCGCGACGTGTACTGCTTCGGTGTGGTGATGCTGCAGCTCCTGACGGGGCGCAGGCCCTACGACAATGTGCGGCCGCGAGGGGAGAGGCTCCTGGTGCCGTGGGCTGGCGCGCGGCTGCACGATCTGAGCGCTCTGCGCAGGATGGCCGACCCACGCCTCCGGGGCACGCCGGTGCCGGTCAGGTCCCTATCACGGTTCGCGGACATCATCAGCAGATGCGTGCAGGTAACTAAAGCTCGTCCTTACTTTGGTTTCTCGTTTTCTTGGGCTGCTGCGTTGTCGTCGTAATGGAGTTTGCCTACGTGCAGCGGGAGGCTGAGTTCCGGCCGGCGATGGCGGAGGTGGTGCAGGACCTGATGGGCGCCACCGCCACGGAAGAGGCGCACATAGCGGACGACTGCGGAGAGCTATCGCCGGTGACGGCAGAGTACCAACTTGGTGTGAACTGCTCGCTCTGATTGACATAGAAAACTGCCAAACATGTCCTCACCATCAGCATAGAATGCATCTATTGTACTCACTAAGCCATTTACTATGCTGCATTGCCTTTGATCTCAGGCTGGAAGCACTGTTTCAAGCAAATTATTTTTCCAGCAAAGGAGAATTCTTGGGTTTTATTTGGTTATAGGGTGCAACGCCCGGACGACACTTGAGGGCCCTAATAGCAAGCTATTCTGATGGACCCTCCCTGACACTTAGCCCACATATCAATCAGATACTGCACTTGATCTTAGCCAAAAGGTCGAGAAAGATATGATTTGAAACTTTGTCCTCCCTCTCCTTTTATGGCTTCTTGGGCCAACTCCACCACGTGTGCCGGCGAGGTGGGACTAAACGAAACTAAGAGTAAACTAAGAGTTGCAGTGAGTATTAACAAATTTGTACCTGCCCCCGTTGCGCCCGTTTCTTCGCTGCACGCAAACGGGCGCATACCCCCCGCGCCAGGCTGGGCTGGCCCATTTCTTCTTTTTCTGTTAAAACTGCATCAATCAAAAAAGCGTGAGTGCGGTGGCTTGGCTCGAACTTGGGATGTTCCGTTTAGACATCAGCACAGTTACCACTAGGCAAAGAACCACTTGCTGTTTGCAAACCTCTTTTGCCTCTTTTATTGTTTTTCCAGGTCGCGAGATTTTTTCTCCTTTTTCCTGCTCTTTTTTCATTTTTCTTTTCTTTATTCCTTTTTCTTTTTTTTCGTAAATGTGCAATTTTTTTATTCAAATTTGATCAACCTTTATCAAATTGATGATTTTTTTTAAATTCGATGAAAATTTTCAAATTCCATATTTTTTTAAAACGTGAACAATTATTGAAAACCTGAACAAAAAATTATATACGATGAGCAATTTTCAAATATACATTGAACATTTTTTTGGTGTACGATGAACAATTTTTAACTACACAGCAAACATTTTTGTGATATACATTGAAATAATTTAAAACAAATTTATACATTCTTTTGATATAAGATGAACAACTTTTATACATTGAACATTTTTGTAATATAATCTGCACAATTTTTAACTACACATTGAACAATTTTATGATATGCGCTGAAAAACCATTTAAATACCCATTGAACATTTTTTTTATGTACAGTGAACAATTTAAAATTGTGAACAAAATTTTAAAAAGTGAATAAATTTGAAAAACTATGAACACATTTTGAAATCATGAACAAAAAACGAAAAATACATTTTCTAAAATTCCATGAACTTTTTTCAATTTCAATGAACTTTTTCTAGATTTCGATGAACCTTTTTCAAATTCGATGATTTTTTTTTCCCAAATTTGATGAACTTTTTCCAACTTTGACGAACTTTTTTTCATATTCAATGACCATTTTTCAAATTCATTGAACTTTCTTTTAAATTCAAACAAAAAATTTTGATATTGATGAACTATTTGTCAAAATTGATGAACTTTTTTAAAATCAATGATTTTTTTAGTTCGTTAACCTTTTCAATTCGTGATTTATTTTGAAATCTGTGAATTTTTTCAAATTTCGTCCCGAAAAAATTATGTTTCCCAAAATCTGTGCGCAATAAATAGCGTGACATTGATTATTCTTAATTCATGTGCGCTGAATATATCCATGATCGATTGGTTGCACTAGTGGTTAGTTGACTGGGACATGTACCGGAGGTCGCGTGGTTGATTCCTCACGGGAGCAACACTTTTTAGGGGATTTTTTTGTGGTATAGATGGGATTTTTTTTCGTGGTATAGAAGGCGTGTCGTGGGCCGGCCCAGCAGGCGCGGCTGTGAGCGCCAGCTTCCTGAACCGGCACCGGCGCTTAAGGCGCCGGTTAGGAGCTCCCCTCCTATACAGCGCTGCAGGCGCCGGTTGCTGCAACTGGCGCTCGCAGCAGCGTCTCGGTGGGCCGGCCCACGAGCGCGCAGCGCAAAGAAAACCCCCGCAAAAAATGCGTACGCTGCAGGATTCGAACTCACGCCATGACTGTGCGAAACCTTGAAGAATAGAAAGGTAGGCGCACTATTTATTGCGTGGTCCACTATAACGTTTAGATTTTTCAATTATTTAAAAACATGTTCACATATTTCAAAAATGATGTTCACGAACATGCAAAAAAAAAGTTCACCAAAATTAAAAAATGTTCAGGTAATCAAAAAAAGTTCATGAATTCAAAAGAAGTCCATTACTTACAAAAATGTTCAATATATTTTGACAAAATTTGCAAACTCGAAAAGAGTTTACGAATTTCAAAAAAAAGACAACATATGTAAAAGATTGTGAGTTTGAAAAAAAGTTCATTAACTTTGAAAAAAAGTTTGTCGAATATGAAAAAAGTTCATGAAATTTGAAAAAGTTCAGAAGTGGAAACAAGTGCATCAATTTAAAATTTTCATCAAATTTGGGAAAATCTCATCCAAATTGAAAACAAAATCATCAAGTTTTAAAAAAAGTTCATCGAATTAGAAAAAAAGTTCACGATTTTCAAAACCAGTTCATCAAAAATGAAAACAGTTCATCAATTTGAAGAAAAAGGTTGATCAATTTGGAAAAAACGTTAATACTAATTAAAAAAAAGTGAATGGATTTTCAAAAACGTTCATCGAACTTGAAAAATAGTTCATAGAATTTGAAAAAAAGTTCCTTGAATATGAAAAAAAGTTAATGAATATTAATACAAAGTTCATCGAATATGAAAAAGTTCATAGAGTTTGAAAAAAGTTCATTGAGTTTGAAAAAAGTTCATCAAATTAGGAAAAAGTTCATTGAATTTGAAAAGAAGTTCATCGATTTTCAAGAAAAAAGTTCATGAATTTGAAACAAAAACATCAAACCAGGAAGAAGGAAAAAAATAAACAAACAGAAACAAAAAAGGAAAAAAGGAAAAAGGGAAAAGAAAAAAGGAAAGAAGTCATGAACAAAAACCAGAAAAGTATGTAATGCGACAGTTCAGTGAAGTAGGCGTAGTGGTTATCGTAGCTTTGCCCAATGTGGAGATCGCTGGTTCGATACTTGGTTGGTGTGCCTTTTTTGCTGTTTGAAACAGAAATGCCGAGCAAACGCACACAAGAGCGAGCGGGATCACATGTACTGGGCCGGCCCAATTACGTGATTCGGTTTTAGGAACCTTCTAGCAGTTCTGTCTGGTTTTATGCATCTTGGGAACCTCCCAGAAGGTTCTCTGAACCGGTTTTTGTCTGTTTTTTCCCTTGTGTTTTCTTTTTCGGTTTTTTCCCTTTTCTGTTTCTCTTGTATTTTCTTTTTTCAACAAATGTTCAGAAATTTGAAAAATGTTCGCATTTTAAGTTTTTTTCACAAATTAAGGAAATTTAAAAAGAAATCCATTTAGAAAAAAGTGTTCACAAATTTTTATAATTTTAATGTTTTCAAATTTTTCCCGCAATTTCAAAAAATGTTCGGAAACTTGAGAAAATGTTCCAGGTTTTTAATTTTGTTCTAGAATTTTTCAATTGCCCACGTTCTGAAAATTCGTTCTGACACTCAAAAATCTGTTTATTTTTCTTCTTTATTTTTCTTCTTTTCTTTTTCTTTTGCTGTTTCTTTCTTTCTTCTTTGTCTCTTTTTCATTTTTTTCTTTTTCAAGTTGATATTTTTATTTTATTTTAATTCAAACCTTTTAGGTTTCTAAAAAATGTTCTACTTTAAAAATATGTTCACAATTTGAAAAAATGTACAAGAATTTTAGAAAATGTTCGTCTACTTCAAAATTTGTTCAGTTCACAAATTTAGAAAATGTTCCTATTTCAAAAAAAAAAACTTCCGACATTGCAAAAATTGTTTGCGGTTGCAAAAATTGGTCTAAAATTCAAAAAATGTTCGTGTTTGATAAAATGTTAAGGAATTTCAAAAAATGTCCGTGGTTTAATTTTTTTAGATATTTCATAAAGTTCCATTTTCAAAAAAAATTCACAAATTCAAAAAATGTTCATGGTTTCATTTTTTTGTAATTTCATAAAAAGTTCCATTTTTCAAATAGTTGTTCAAAAATTCAAAATTGTTCGTGGTTTACGATTTGTTCGGGATTTCATAATTTGTTCACAACTTCAAATAATGGTTCATGTTTTTCAAAAACATTTTCTGCAGTTTCAATTTTTTTGTGCACATATGCAAAAAATTGTTCCTGTGTACAAAATATGTTCAGAAATGAAAAAAATGGTCGCACTTTTTCAAAATATACACTTTCAGAAGAAATGTACAATTTCTTTTAAGATGTTCACTACAGTGTGTAATTCTGGTTTGATACAGTAGACAAGTCCGGTTGTATGGTTGTGCCAGTTATTAAAAGTGCGCGTTGGTTTGCTACAAGCAATGCTAGTTAGGTGGAGTGGCTGGGAGCATGCACTTCAAAGCTGTAGGTCGCAGGTTTGAGTTTCCATCGCTCCTTCTCTCCCCTTTTTTCTTTCTTTTCTTTCCACCGATACAACGCGATGGGCCGGCCCAGTTAGGTTGCGCCCTGTGCGTTTCAACGACATTTTGACGCAAAGCGCGTTCAATAGGACCTCCCCTAGAATAGTACTAACTTGTACGGGAGCTCCTAGTTGGCGCTGTAGGCGCCGGTTCGCACCGCTGGTGCCCGCGCGGACACGAACTGGGCCGGCCCAACAAGCTGCTGAGAAGCAAAAAGCGAAGGGAAAAATTACTGTGTGAGGTTTATTCGGGAGAATCGGGAGTCAAACTCGTAACACCCAAGTAAACGACCACATGGGTCGACCACTGGACCAAGCTCACTGTGATGCTTACTTTAGGAAATCATAACTCTTTAATATTTCATACAGTAACGCACAGGTAGAGGACTACAGACCATACGACAAGGAGTGGCTGAGAAGTATACTACGAGACTCCGTGAGGGAAACGAGCCACCGGAGGCCTGAGGGGCATATCATTGATACTTCCTCTGTAAAGAAATATAAGAGCGTTCAGATCGGAAATCCCTTTTGGTGACCGAGCTCCAACGAGGCCTCCAAAT